AAATTCCCTGGGGCCAGCTCGTGCCGAGTCCTGAACGCAGCGCACAAAACTGCAGCATGAATGTAACGAAGGGCTGTAACAAGTACCCAAGAGATCAAACACAGTCATAGGAAGAAAGAATAGATGTTTGAACGCTCTTCGAGTTGTGTAGACTGCTACTCGTCTACTAAAGAATAAAATCGCGCTAACGAGAAAGTAACAGAGGGTAGTTTCGTTGAGTTGGAAAACTAGAACGAGGAAGCGAGAGTGTGAGATACATCCCACAAATGATTACTTCTATGATTACTATGTTATTGAATTTGCATTGTGACGTGAAATCAATGCTGCATTGCTTCAGACATTCAATATGCTAGACATTCGCCAGTATCAAAAAATAGATTATCTTGTTTCTGGTATTTGTATTTCAAGTAAAGAGTACTATCACATTCCACTCACACTTCACGCGTACGCGACCGTCTATACTTACATCACTGTTGCCACGATCCTGAGCCTGTAATTTTCAAAGACACTTCTAAGGTTTAGTATTACATCGCTATTCGATTACGCATCCTCATTAATGAAAATGTGTGAGCAAGTAAGTGTATTGCATTTTTCAAAAAATTCTAAATTCATTGAACTTCCTAGAAATATGCTGCTTACCAGTTTGCATGAAGTACCTGAATTGGTAATTACGGATTGAACTCAGGTAAAATGTCAAAAAAAAGCGCATCAATTCAGGCACCCCTGCCCCTCGCTGATGCCTGCCAGGTTTCTGGAGAAGATACAAAATTCCCTACATTAGATTTGAATGGCAAAGAATTACCAGCTGATTCAAAGGTTAGGTATGAACAAGGAAATTGGGTAAATTCACAGTTGCAATTCACTATTCACAGTTTACCGCGCAGTTCGGTTAGTGGTTTGGTAGCCAAAAGTATGCGCGAAGAACACTCCCTTCTAGGCTTTGTAAAATATTTTCCGAAATCAGAATGGCGAAGTATTTATGTAGGTTTCAAGAAATAGCTTCGTTTCTCAAACTCGAAGGCTATAATTAACAAAAAGTCAGCATAATTACAGTAAGCGTTGAAGGTGAGAAATGTGGCTTTAGACGAGGGAACGGAGGAAGATGTAAGTATTTTACGAGCAAGGCTATTGAATAGAAGTTGGAGTGAATATGTTTCATGTCTTCTCAATATATTGAATGAAAAAATCATTCGTTAAGGTATAGTGTATGCGAAAAACAATCCTGCGCATTTCAGAGTTCCGCATTTGGTAGCTATAGAGCAACACAGCTGAAAACTGTACCTTCTGCATCTTCTTCTTTCTATACTATAATATATACCAGTGACCGTCCAACAAAAGGACTTTGCTCATCTTCAAAGTGACTTTGTTCAGGCAATGGGGCGGTAAGTCATAATTTGATGATGCTCCAGACAAAGTTTAGCTCTATAGGATAAGAGAGATGACACAGTCACGATTAGCAGGCATGGAGCAAAGGTCTTCCTTTTTCAATGCAAAAATTTTCTTTGCCGGTACATTTGCAATTTAAAAAAGATAAAATTGTCTATCATTAGCATTTGCAAAGCTACCGTTTTATTTTGGCTAACCATCAGCAATCATGACGAATTCCGCTTCGCCTACGTATGCATATGCCTGCTGTGCACACGCAAGCAAAACATTATCTTTCAAGTTGAGTTGAAAAGTGTGTAATGTTATGTTACATAGCATTATGCAAAGCCATGTCGGTGCAATTTTGCAGTATAGCGTCATAACGGGAAAAAAACGTTCTTTGCTTGTTTTGTAGCAGTCGCCGGACTAAGATCCAACCCCAAAACTTATTTTATGATAGAATAAAAACAGGAATATCAACACACACTAATAAGATCAATTAAGAACTCCCAACTGTTTTGTAGCTTATGCCTCCTCTAACCAACTAATTGTAGGAAAGGCAGAAAAGCCACGAGATTGAGCCACAATGACTATACTGCGCTTGAAGGTCTGACGGCATAACATCATGTGCAAGATCATCATAGGATAAAATGACGCAACTTTTGTTACTATTACAAGAGCTCTGGAAGCGTGACAAACAAAAAGTGAAAATTTTATGGGCGACTAGCGTCAAAAGTAGCAAAGAAAAGAATAGCGTTTGTGTTTATGGCTATACAATTGTAAGTGGCGATTTGAATTGAACAAACTATAATTTCATGGCATTAGCAACCATAGCTGGAACAAATATTACCGAGAACAATTTTACCAGAAAGAAATGTCCATAGGGAGAAATTCAGAAACTTGGATAAATTGCAAGTTCCGAGAATTGCTGCGAATAAAATTGATGAGAAAACTATATTTTAGGACACTTTGTGCAACGTTGCCTGAAACTAGTGGAATCAGCTTAGAACGGAACTTCTCGGTAAAGCACATTTCGTCATATGTACATTCTATTAAAGGTGAAAAACTCGTGGACCGTTCAAACACGAGGAGAAGAAAAAACTGGCTAGTTTCTTTCAGAAAGCCGAGCTGCTGGTCTGAACTCTATGTTCCTAACAAAGATTCTGCAATGTAAATTGTTTCAGACCAAATGAACTACTGTGATGACTCAGAATCGCGATTGTCTAGCAAGTATCTATTTCCGGATTTTTTTTCAGCGCACTAACATCAAACATCAACGAGATGTAGAGCTACAGTGAAGAAAACAATGATGAAACCAGAGATAAAAGCGCTTAATTCTTTCGTCCCCCTGACTTTTTCCGTGATGTCCCCCTGACTTTTTGCTCGATGCAATTATCTTGCTGCCTTAGAGATTATCTTTCGCTAGTGAATTCCTGGTCTAATCCTACCCTTCAATGTCAGTAGGATTTTGGCTATCTCTAGTCTTTTCCGTTGAGCCGAAGTTAACAGTTAGGTATTAGTTTAGTACTTTCCAGTTTCATATCAGGGTATAGAAGTAACCTTTTGGTGGCATTTGATAGGTTGGCAACCAGTTTCTGCATTCTCCTCCCTTTGATTCGTAGAAATTTCGGAAGATTTTCCAAATCTTAGGTCAAGGAGCTGCACAGTCTTGATTTTAGTATCTTAAAAACAGCAAAAACTTTTTCTCAGCTTATTTTAATAAGTATGACATCCTTCGCGGTGCTAAAAAATTGAGAATGCTTGTAATCGACCAGTTCGGATTCGCTGAGGCAAGAACTGGTGCCGCAACCGCTCAACTTTTACTAAAGTAGCTTCACGACATATGGCACGCAATGCCATGATAAACTTCAAGTTAGAGAAATTATTTCAAAAGTAGTGGCTACATCGCATTGCTGCAAAAACTGGCAAAAATTCTTGTGCGAAGGTTTGCACCAAAAATTCTGACAAGATTAGTTTCAAAAATTCTTGGCAGAATGTTTGGATCTTCAATGAAAGAAATGAGATCGTGACGATGACCATGAGTTGGATGTTTTTCTTTGCGGTTCGTATCGCTTTGAACCAACAGTAACTTTTGCTTCGCACCACAAGCACCTAATTTCTTCTTTAAAGATAGATCGATTCAAGAAAGTTTGAAACAGAAGAAAGATTACAAATTTCTACAGTTTTGTGCAAAATCTTTGTTTTGAGATGGTATAATCTCTTGATATCTCTAGACCGTACAAGAAGTGAAAACTTCCATGATACTTGCTAAAGCTCGAGTCTCCAGCTTGCTGTTACATGAGAGGAATACTCAGAAAGCATCTGCTTTGCAGAAGGAAACAAAAAGCAAAGGGGATATCGTTTTTGTCGACAAATTGCGACGTTTTTTTAGTCGACGTTTCGTTTTTTGAGGTTTTTTTAGATTTAGGGTTTAGGGTCAAAGGGGACTTCGTAAAACTTAGCGAAAATCAAGGGGGACTTCGTTTTGAAAATTCCCTGGTGCCACCTCGTGCCGAGCCCTCACGGGGTACCATCGACTATACTCTTTCGCACCTCTGCCGGTCTTCGAACGCTGACTCTCCTAGATGCTTTTCAAATTGTTAAGTTCAAAGATTCTGCAAAAATTAGTTGTCAACCTAGTGCATGTGCAAGTGAGCCCTAGAAAAGTTATGATTCCGACAATGAAATGGCAGGACACACGATCACAAAAGTTGAGAGCACATTCAGTTGCAGTATGTTCATCTCAACGACCAGTATGTCTCAGCGAGTAAGAAACTACGTAGTTGCTTTGCAGTGTCTCGAAAATGATATATATTCTGGTCTCTCGATGTATTGTCTTATATGTTCGGCCCGTTTTTCAAGCGCATTAAGTCGTGAACTCAATGCTAGATAGGTATCAAAACACATTTGATAGAGCAAAGCAAGCTCTGCAAGATATGTTCTTGCTTTCGCACCACTTCAAATCCAACTCGAGTTTGGCGAAAACTAAAAAGATCCAGCCGCCCGAAAAGTAGTAGAAAAAAACGTAACTCCGTCCAAAAAATTCTGGAAAATTTCTAAATTGCTAAGAGATACGTCATGCATATGAGACATTCATATATACGTTGTATTTTTTCAAAAGAAATAAAGAAAACGATTCTATATTTTTGCTAAAGTGATGCTGTACGGTTCCCACATCAGCGGTTGTACACTACAGACCAGTAAATGTACAGTCGTAAATTCTCAGCTCTCAAGCTTTAGTCTTCAAGAAATATTCGTCTCAGTATGGGACAACCAACTAAGCGAAGCTAAATTCGATGTTTCTCGAGAACTAAAGCCTGTAAAGCCCTGAAAATTCATGTCCTACTCAAACGGTACCTTGGAACCTATTTAGAAATTAGAACTTTATGACTTACTGCGATTGGAATTCAAAAGGGACGGAGCTTATGGGACAGCCTGATAGTTCCTGCTAACTATGCAGACCATATCTGGGCTCATATAATTGCAAGCCGGCAAAGACGCTCCCCAATCGGCCGGGAGGGGAACGAATACCACCACAGGACGCCGCCTTTGCCTACTATTGGCTCTAGCACATGTTTCTGCGCATAGCAAATTAGTCTACTTGAGGTCTAACTAACTTCTAAGATTTGAATTTCAGATATGCTAGTGATGCTTTTAATGACAATAAGTGCATCTGCTGCCCCGATTGAGGTAAGCTGTAAATGCAATTTTGATCAATCAATAAAATTCTCATGTGCAGTTTCGTGTTTACCAAGTGACAGGGGTAGACGAGTAGTTGTGGAGTAAGTTACTCGCACCTGACGTAGAGTTGGACCCTTCGAGACCCGGTGTAGACCGGAAAGGAACATCTGATACATTCGGAGGCTCCTTATAAACGAAGAAAGGCGGAACTGAACCGGTTACAGTATACACGAATTGGTGCTTGAAAGGAGTTACCGCTGATTGGCTACACTCCTGGCGCATGGGTACCACTCGCTCTTGGGTGATTACTCAAGATACTCAAGAGTGAATAGCTCACAGCCTACAGGTCCGTAGACCATCTAGATTATAGAGTTCATCAATGGACAATGATGCAGACATCAACATATCTGTGCGATATTACGCATCCGATTCCATACGAAGTTACGCGCACTTTATAAAAACTTTGGTAGTGAAGTAGGAAATATATGGCTCCGACTGAGTTTGGCATCTTGTTTCCAAATTACCGCGGCAAAACCAAGTTCAATTCACCGTTTTTGATTTTGTGATAGGTTTTTCTGAATGATCTAGAAGATATTTTTTTGGCAGATAAGCATAAACTCGAGAAAGGTTTTCCTTGATAGAACATATGATGGAAGATTGGTAATTCAAAGGGAACAACTACTCTGAGAATTCGTCACACAGAACGAAGTCATCGTTTGCTAATCTTCTAGCTGCTGTCGCTGATTCTCTTAATATTTGAAGATTCTCAAAGAATAGAGCAGTAGCTTTAAATGGTTAGCACACGTGACATATAACCCTCAGCTGCAAAAGTAGCTGGCAAGCGATTAAAAATTAGAAAGAGAAAAGACTTTATAAAATCGTTTGCAGTGCAAGCTGTATCTCGAGAATTTGTGAGATCGTGTTCACATGAAAATCATGGCTGAGTACTGCTGTTTCAGGACGGAGACACTTACAATAGACTGGACATGTGCCGCACTTTGTTAGATGATGAGAATTGCAGTCGTACCATGCCGATTTTCCATAAGCTATACCCAGTCACAAAAATTGGCGACAGGCTTATAATACGAGTGAATCCTGAGTCGCGTGAGTATTTCACATGCAATTTATTAATCGAAATATGAGAGACATGAAAAAGTTCAGGTCGGTTTTGAAACCGGACCTTATGCTCAAGAGGATACACATCTGGCTGCTCAAGTATTGGAGGGAAATTATGAAATTAGCTTAGCATATATAAAGTACCATAAGAAAATCATACCTGCTCTGACGTTTTCGAGAAGTGAAATACCATGGTCAATAATCCGAAATGTTCTGAGTTTGCCCAGTTTCAAAGTCTTTGCAACTTCGACTCTAACTCAATACGGCTGTCCAAAGCTAGCTCGTGCTGGGCTACGACAAAACTGTAATTAAGTTATAGTTATTTGTAGAGAAAGAGCAACCATAGAAGTCTTTTTGTTTTTGATAGAGTCGCTGAGGTTGAGGGACATGTGGAATTTGTTAAGTGATAATTTTGCTGATTTACAAAACACTTGCACCAATAAGCAGCTAGCAACCGATCATTTTGAGTTATCCCATTTTTTGCTAATACTTGTTATTGAGAACATGAAGTTTATTGTGACCACATCAAAGCTCTTTTGATTATTTTTGCAAGTAGAGTACTGTATCTGTAATCGGAAAGGGAAATTAAGCGAATTCCTCTTTTCAACAATTTGCATTTTGTCAGCTCGTCATAACATCGTTATTCTGCTACAATAAGCCAACGACCAATCGAATACTTCAGCCTCAACTTTTCTATCCAGCTATAAAAGGTTCCTGATGAATTTTTGGGAACACTAATTTGACCAATACGCCACTCAAATCTCCGGAAAGAAAAGCCGCATCAAATTCTTGCACTACCTACCAGCACACAATAAGACATACTTATAGTAGGACTCCATTATCCATGTAAAGGAGAGTGGAAACGTGCTCGTACTCTCTGAGGTAGACTAAGGAGCTGATATGCTGCAAGAAAACATTAATCAACAAGCGCTGTTATGACCGCAAACTAAATGCCTACAGCTTCAACTATTTTATTTGTAATTGTGTTAATGTGGTTTGACCAGCACGAGGTTTGGGTGAAGCTTTATCATCATCAATGGCCTAACGTTCCAACTACTCGACGTCTTCAGGGGCTAAAGCGGTGCGGGATTAGTGATCTTATGTCTGCCCCACCAAGTGCTCATCAAAACTTGGCTAGCTTCTCGGTCCTCTCTAAAGTATGCAAAAATTGCAGGATGAAAAAGACGAACACCCCTTTGCTTCACCGCCAGTGCACTTGATGTTGTAGTGCGACCGTGTCCTTGACAGTAGTGCCAATAAGCCACATTTGATGGCATATTGTAGATATATCGCACTATTCTGTAGCCCAGATAATGTAAAACAGCATGAAGTCATTCATAACGGCTAAGCACTCGTTTTTGTTGTAAGTGGTCTTTTGCGCGCGATCAAAATGCTTCTAGAGCTTTCTTTGCTGAGGTATCTTTTGGAGCAAGGAAAGCTCTCGAAGCATTTTGGATCACTCGCAAAAGACCACTTATGTACAACAAAAACGACTGTAGCCGTTACGAATGACTTCATGCCGTTTTAATCGCTATTTGGACTTTGATAGGGTAGTGCGATAATTTTATCTACAGTATGCCACCCAATGTGGCTTATTGGCATTACTGTCATCAAGAACACGGTCGTATCACATCAACAAGTGCACCTTGGTGAAGCAAAGGCGTCCGCCTTTCTTATCCTGCAATTTTTGCGTGTAAAATTCTAGAGGGGATCGAGAAGCTAGCCGAGGGTTGATGAAGCACTTGGTAGGGCAGACATAAGATCACTAATCCCGCACCGCTTCAGGCCTCGGACAGAGTTCACGCAACTTCATCGTCGCGATTGATCGCGACAAGACAAAACAATATCATTGCATGCCGATCTTCTTGCATTTCGGTTGTGATAGTTTTCCGACACGACTAATCGTGACTAACTATCACAACCGAAATACAAAAACATCACCATGCAATGAGCTCCTGAGTAGTCGAAACGTTAGATCAGTGAAGATAATAAAGCTTCACGCAAACCTCGTGTTGAAAACCACACTAACACAATTTCAAGTAGGCCGAAGTTTCAACAAGAGAGGACAAAGGACGTATTTATTTGCATCAAGATTCCTTATGTCCTACCAATGCCATTTCGAAGTCGTTTCTTTTTGTGGCGACTTGAATTTCTGATTGTGAATGTTTCGTTATGTCCTGCGCACGAATGTCAATGTCTCGTTATGTCTCGACTCGAATGATGCCTAAAGAAATGATGCTGCGTTCAATGTTATTATGGCTTCAGATTTGAAATCTACCAATAAGCATCGCCGCGGTGTCAAAGTCAGCAGCCTCTTCGCTCAGTCTACAGAGTTCGAGGTTCTTTTGTATTAGGTTGACCCGAAAGTTCTGTCGTTTCATTTCTGAAAATTCATAACTTTGCGCTCCCTCAACGGATTCGCTTTGCTTTATTTTTATTACTTACTTACTTAGATACTTAGGTGGCCCGGCTTCACGTGACGTGCGGTCCCCAGCTCAAAAGTTTCCGTTTCTCCCTGTCCCTCGCTTCAGACATCCACGATCTTCTTGGCTGACGTCGGTGGCTGCGTCCACGAGTTCCAGGTGCAAAAATCGTATCCAGGATTTCTCAGCTGGTCCATCCGTTCCACGAACACGTCTGCCCATCTCGTTGGAGGTCTTCCTCGGGGACGTTTTGCTTCGCGAGGAATCCACTCCGACGTTCTTAGTGTCCATCTGTCGTATATTTTTATTGGAAAGGGTAACTCTATCGCTTTCAAATGCTGTTTTGCTGAGCCTTTGCTACGCACTGACTGCAGAGATAAAAATAGAAAAACAAAACCATATAGACTTATTTTAACTTAGGTCGCCAAAAATCTGGAAAGCTGCAGAAAAATGTAAAATCCTCAACACATAAGTTTTTTGACCCACGCTTTCCAGCTGCGAAAAAATTGGCTTGTTTGGACGTCTCTGTGAGAAAGTTATGAATCTTCAAAAATAAAACGACAGAACTTTTGGGCCAACCTAATATATTGCACAGCTGAAAATTGCCGTATCTATCGTTTGCAAAGCGACTACGCTCAGACATCGGAAAAATAAATCTTGTGCAGAAAGCTTATTCTGTTTTGCAAATCCTGGCTTCTCGCCAATGTGCGACAAACGCGAAAAATTAGACATGGAATAAAATTTTCAAATCTACCAGATACCCATTTTGGCAATCTAGACCATTGCCCAGGAATCAACGGGTATTATCATTTCAAGGAAAAACTGCTGCTACAAGGGCAAATCAAAGTCTATTCAATTTTTACTCCGATGAATGTTCCTATCACAGGTCCACATTATGGCATTCATTCCGATTTTCTACCCTATAATTGTCATGTTATTAGACGAGATCAACCAACCACGGAAGACAATGCTTTTGTACTTGGCGGGTAAGACTATTTTTTGAAATACCACAGATGCAATGCCGAATGTTTTAATACTGGGAACTAGGTGTCAAAGCAGCATCATAGCATTTGCATGGAAAAAACCTTGCCAAGACCGTAATAAACCGAACAAAAACGATTTGAGTTCAAACTTTCAGATGTCCACGTAAATCAAACGTTGCAATCTATCACTCGAAAGCGCCTGTAAGAATACAGGTATGTTTTCCTAGAACACGAAGCTGGTATAGGGTTGTGCGTGATCGCGAAGGTCGGTGAGGTTGCGGTCATTGCACACGCAGGATGCCAAAAGGCCTCAAAAGTTCATCTACCACTGTGATTTCCAGAAGTCGATTCCAGTGGCTGAAAGCTAACCCTGATAGCAAAAAAGCATATGAAGTAAGAATTAGAACAGAGAATGTTTGGTGTGTGAGCAATGACCGCAATCTCGCCGACCTTCAAGGTCACGCTCAGCCTCATAGCTGTAAGTAAGCTCCCATAACTAAAGTGTATCTAGATTTTATAGTTTACAATGCGAGACGTCTTAGACGGATATGGACTGCAAATGAGTGGCAATTATACGGTAAAATGTGTCGTTGGTGAGTGCTCCCGGAAGGAAGGAAGTACGATTAATGTGAGTTCTAATACATGTTTACCTCTAAACTCGCGAAACAAATGACCAGCAACCTGGTTGAGGTTATGCAGCTTTTGGCATAAAAGCGCTTCAACTTTGAGGAAGACTATTTGACTTCATCTCACAGGGCATTGAGGTGTTGTTGACTTTTTGAACTTTTCTCTTCTCTCTTCACAGACCAAGCTGCGCACAATCTCATCTAATATCATAAATTCACAAGAAAAACACGATTAATTTGAGACTTCGCCCTTCCTCTGGCAGAGCAAGACCGAAATCACTCAAACATTCGCAAATTCCGAAAATGTATTGCGATTTCTAGGGCAAGACTTGATTTCGGATTTGACAGATTGACTATCATTTGAATCAAGACGCAAGGGTAGTTCAGAATGTGTACATACGTGGACGGAGAACATCGCCCATCGGAGGAAAACCTGCCCAACCTCAAACAACCTACGTTGTCTACTCAAAGCTGGATCAGCTGAGAAGCTCGCTAGTACTGCGCATCCGCAGCGTCAACGTTTCGATAATGCCTGCACCTAAAGCAGTCAAAGGCCGAAGGCATACTTCCCGCGATTCCGTCAAATCGCTACATCCGCGCGATTTGGCGTTTTGCCAGAGGCCCACAGATCAACCGTGCGCTAGTGTTAGATGCGTAGGCCTGTAGCTGCTGTAAGTTCCCGCGAGACAATCAAGTCTGGCCCAAGCGAATTGCGCTTATCAAAACTTATAAAGAGTCGCTGCAGTGCCACATCGCGCAGCGACTGAAATCGCGTGAGGTAAACCTTAGGCCAAAGGGGAGATGAGTAGAAAACACTGTCCTGTAACGACATAATTCAGCTTACAGCAATGACGCGAAATTCTGGCATCGCGAACGCTTATACACAGGTTCTACACCGATCTAAATAGCGTGAGACAGATTTTTTTGGGGGAGGTTACATTTTCGTTCTGAAAAAGCACTACTGCTACGTTCTTGATTGTATACCACTGATGTATAGTCAATGAAAGTATTGACACAAAAACACATTAGGCGTATTCAACGCAGGTTTCTAAGTGAATCTGTAGAACAAAAAATAACACATTGCAATACTTTCATCTCATGTTTAGACATTGCTTAAGTTAGAAATTATTCTCGAACTCTGCACGGAGAAATTGCAGTGGTCTACTAGCAATCAACATATCAGTCACTACCCCAACGAATGATTGAAATGTCCGCTTACCTAAGAAATCTTCTCCTTGTAAGAGCGAGTTGAGTAAAGATTGTTCTCTGTGTCAGGTACTGCGTCAGGGCGGCGTTTCTCATGAAACATGATAGCGAAAACTAGAAAAGGTCTTGAAAAGCGTTCTAGTAGCACATGAATAATGGAGAAAGTAAGTCCAGTTCCTGCTTTTCAACTGTGAGACTAGTTCGTAAACAGAAGTTAAAATTTTGAAGTAGATAGAAACGACCAATAAAGTTATTCAGAAGAAGCATAAACAAACGCAGCGTAAGCAATCGCGGCGCTGCTGCAGGTGCTAATCACCATTGATTATTAGTGATCAAGACGATGTCAAAGTAGATCACAGCTACGGTGTTCAGCTCAAGCTGTATCCACAAATTGATAAGCAATACTATCATTGTAGTTCCAAGATGCCGTTTATGTAAAGACCGATGCAATTAGAGCGAAAGAAAGGATAATATTATTGTAAAAAGTCTTCGTCAATGCTTCACGAAGTGCATAAAAAAGTATGTACACCTTTTGACCGAAAATCGATCCTCTCACAAAATCTTTCACCATCCTTGATGTCAAATTAAAGGCCGGATTCAACTTAGGTCAGCGATTGCCCTTCCAAAAATCTCTGAAGGGTAATTTGCGTGTCAGCCGCACTGCGAAGTTGCAACATTGAAAGTTCAAAAAAAAATCTGGAATTTTGTATGGGATGGGGGAAGGTTTAGACGCAGCTATTCCAATGATAAACTTTGTACAGACACACTTTTCGAACTGTGTAGACAAATTTGCTTTATTGAAAACACACCTGAGCTTATCATTGCTAAAGGAGTTCTGGTAGGGTCGAATTAAATTTTTGAAATAATCAATTATACAGAAATCTATGGGTGCAGTGGGTTGTGAAAACGAAACATACTTCCCAGAAGGACAAACAATTTTGCAGAATCGTTCTCAACGTAAAATAATTTCTCTCTTAACGTCATTGCAGAGATGTCCGGACTACGATCACTGTGAGAAGGGAGATCCCTGGCACCCCGATCTTTCTTACGTAAACGTCCATCAGCTACCTGCTTACATCAATCTGCAATACTATCCAATGTACAGAACGGCTAAATAGCATAACTCCATCATAGAGTATTACCTGTGATAAATTGGCATTTTTCACCACTGATTTGACATCGATAACAATTTATCATGTAATCGCTAGTCCTATTTTTTCAGCATTTGATAAAGAAAAGGACGCAGACATTGCAAAAGTTGTCTTCGCTGCGCGGCAGGCTCTCAAACGAAACTGCAGAAAGAACACATGGAAAGAAGATACTCAGACTGCAGAACCGCGCCGCAGCAGTGGTTGCAGCTTCAACAAAGTCTGTCTCTTATTGTCAGACCTAGTGTGCAGCCGAAGTAGCAAAATTTGACCAAGCCCATCATAATACATGTGATATTTGCGATTTTTTCATACCCTGGTTTTGCTTTGCTTGTTGATCAGCAGATAAATTTTTATTCACAATCACATACTAATTACATTTGTACGACAATTTGGTTCAACAGGGTACCTATTACTCTTGACGATATACAATATAGAATGAGCGTACAAGAAACAAATCGACTTCGTCACACTCACTGAAAGTTTCGAGGAAATATGAAAACAGCCATTTTTGAGCACTCGTCTGGGTAAGACTATAGTATCGACGAAGTGGAGTTGGTGATAATCGACATTTACAGGTTGTGAAGTAAATGAGCACGGATTGCCGCAGTTACAGAATTAATATAAGAAATACGAAATTCAAATCGCGTTACAACCACTGCAGCCCAAGCCAACTACATTTGCCCCACATGGTCAATACAGCGCTATAAAAAGAGTAATAGTTCGAGGTAAATAGAGAATTATAAGAATTCACAGAGTACTACGAATTACAGCCGACCCGAACACACAATTCACATTAGGACATTTTTTGAAGAGCAACTACCATAAGAGGAAGGCCACTATGCATCCTAATGCAAAGAAAGTTGATCACAACACTCGAAAAACAAGATCCCTAGATACAAATACTAACAGATATCATCAGAAAGCAGTTAATGGTCGTCGTTTACTAGCACTGTTGCGAATCAATTATGATGATAGAGAAAGTGATGAGAACAGAAATGCACACCATGATTAGTGGTCGATAAGATACATACAGACTGTACTCCCTACTAACTATTTGGCAAATGATTTGCTTTTGGACCCATCTTGCTACGCACTAATGTGCTCGGCGTACCTGGATGAGACGGTGGAGCGATGGAACTGAAGGAACTGCGACACGACTCCAAAGAAGCTACGGATCCCCTGTAAGTTAATAATGAAAAATATAGTAGATTTTTCTAGGACTAGTGAACCAGTAATCTCAAAGGTGCTAGTTGCAGGCGCGCTCGCTTCGGGACCTACTCGGTTTCCCGCTATCTGACGATTTTTAAATACACCTTACGATTCTTTATACGGGGTGTCCGTAAAGTACGTATACATTGTTTGATCGTTAATATCTTTCTTCCCAAGTCTTTTGCCTTGCTTCAGGTGCCGTTTTGTAGAGCTGGCTTCAACTTGGATTTACAGTATGGAGCGAATCACCGATCGCTCTTCATTACTGTAGGATTACGGTAGAAACTTGAAGCATATGGTGTTAATGTGGAAAAAGCTGCCGTCTCAAAATTTTTCAAAAAAATGTGACAACTTGTGTAATAAGGTTTTTATGGACGCTGAGTTCAATACTCAACTATTTACAAGATTGCGAAGCTTTCTAAACGATGTAACCGCACTTTTTAGGAACATTAAAAAAGTGGCCGCTAGCTCTTACCCGGCATAACTCTTCAATGAAGCAGCATAATAAGTTGGGAACTTTACAGTTAGAATCAGCAACTCTAATTGGCCTAGTGTAGAAGTTTTCAGGCTGTTTTGTTTCCTTTCTGAGGCAAAATATGGTCTTTCATTGCTTAAAACCTTTTCGCAGTTTCTACCGTAATACTACAGTAATGAAGAAAGATGGGTGAATCGCTCCATACTGCAAATCTAAGTTGAAGCAAGCTCTACAAAACGGTACCTGAGGCAAGGCAAAAGATTTGTTGGGAAGAAAGATATTAACGATCAAACAGTGTATACATACTTTACGGACACCCTGTATATTAGAATAATAGATGTCGCTTCATTAGACTAAAACTCGACCAGCAATTCCTTTTCTCTCCAAACCAAACAAAACTGTAGCTACCTAAAGTTGGCCGAATCTAGCAGCTCATGATAATACATCAATTTGCATTTGTGAGTATTGATACTGAAGTCGAATGTTGTGTTGTGTTGTCCACCAACCTGAACATATTTTCACATAATACGATGGAGACAGATCAAAATAATTTCTTAATATCATTACCTCCGGTACCCGCCACTGGAGAATGTATGTACCCGATCGTGAGCAAAAATGTGATCCCTAGAAAGAGGAAATTTTGTGAAAAGCTTATTGAACCGTCAACCCATACAAACTCCCAGCAAACTGCGAGTTAGAAAATTTACTGAATTTTCATATTAGAATGCATTATGAGGATAATACCCTACAAAGACCATGCCTTGGGATCAAGAAAACCGTGTTTTTTACTGCCGAAATGATAGAAATTTGAAAAACTTGAAATATATATATGTAAAAATATATATGAATATAATACAAAATACAAAAATATATATAAAACATAAGATATTTTGATTTTTGTACAAGAGAAAGTAACGATACCGCGATACCGGTATCTACTTCATGAAATTACTAAGATTCCAGTTACGGTTAAGTGAATGATGATCTGCAAGCAAAGCACATGAATGCACCATGATTGCTCAAAATTCTGTATCACAGATCCAAAACATCGTCTTCATGCATCAGATCAGCAAAATTTTTGTTATTATCAATTGATATTACTGTACATTTGCACATGCTAACTAACGCTCAAAATATACGCGGCTTTAGTCAAGAAAATGTATATTTTCAAAGACAATACGTGAGCGTATTTCCTCTTACAGTAGTAATGCCTGGCCAATTTGAAATACGATTACAGAAGGTACTCCAAATAATGATGTGCAGATTCACTCAGAAACTAGTGGATGACAATCTAGGGTACTCAGAGACCATTTTTGAAAAAGGGAACAGCGTTTAACCATATGATTTCGAAAAAAGGGTAGACCAGAAGATTGCCACTTTAAGAAAACATAGAGCGTAGAAGACATTATTTTAGCAAAGAGAGCTTAAACGGAAAATGATTGTTTAGCACCGAAATCCCCGGATAAACATTACTCAACTCCAAGTCACAATATGATCTTCTACTAACACTGCATCCAGCAATTCAAAATCCTACCTGCATCGAATCCCCTTCCTGAAACACAACTGGCTTCTCCTCTATAGTTAGATCTTGACCAAGAGTAAGCGATGTATCCGACGAAATTACGGGCAGCGGGTTGTTCGCGATGGCTGCTGTGACCATTTCAACGGGGTTCAGCATGGTGGGAGAATGTGGTGTTTGGACGGGTTCTTGGAGTACCTGAAGCCAAGTAAAAATTTATTACTTCCACCTCACAGCATATCTGAGAATACAACTTACCTTCGGAGTATGGTAAACGACAAACTCGCAATCGCTTTTCAAGATGTCAAAGTCCCAAGTGAGCACACAGCCAGGCGAGGAAACTGACACAATTGCCTTGAAAAATTACACCTTTAGCTGTGAAAATCCAAACAGTTTTCCATGACTTACCTCTACCGGATACCCTCGAGTAACAGAAGCCGTTGTATACATCGAACTCAAAACTTCCGCATCTGAGGTAAGTCCTTCAACAGGACGATACTGAGACTTTGGTATATGTCCTCCAGCAGGGCAGTTTGGCAAGCAGGTGCCACCTGAAATCGCACACATTCGCCCTCTTATTCCCAGTCCCTTTCACGAAAGAAACTTACCGAGGAAGTCGGGAATATACTGCTCGTCAATATATTTACTTATTTCTCCCTTTACTAAGTCGCCACCGTTTATCATAAACTTGTTCCTAGTGTTGTCATCAATAAATGGTGAGATTAGTGTCCACAGAACTGGAAAGACACGAGGTGCCCGCACTATCAGCACTTGTCCCATGGTTTCTGGGTAATGAGCCTGAAATAAAGATGTTTGTGCATTATTTTCAAGGTAAGAAAACTGCAGAATTCGTTCTGTGTTGGTATTTTCACCTCGACGATTTCGATAATCCGCAATAATGACTGAACTCCAGGTCGCCACAAATGTCTCATGCTCAATCCTTCCAAATCGACAAGAAGACTCCATGTGCTAAACAGACAATGTTTGCTTCATGTTTGAGCAGAAAGTCCAACTATCAAATGTGACGCGTGGTCGGATGCCTAGTTACAGCTCAAAAAGTTCTTAGCTGTCATCTAATGAATTCTACGAATGTTAGCATAACCACAAAAAACTGATATGTGTGCAGTGTACTGTACTTGCATTACTTCGCTGTTAGAGTTTAAGATCAGAGACAAATAAGTTATCTCACTTTTATGAAAATCATATGCGCGAATATTTCGGTATAAAAGGGTCATTCCGCTTTCTTTGTCTGGAATTGAAGTTTCCAACTCGCGCTCCAAACAATATGCTTGCGCGTGATCACTGCAATCAAGTTAATTTTTTTCTTCCTGAGGCAAACCACCCTCGTTGCAAAATTAATAAAAATAAAGTCGTTTGGCAAAGGCAGAATCATGTCCAAAAATTGTAAACGAATTCCATCTATGCACTGAATAACTTGAGCATATACACCGCGCTTCTGCTCGCTAATCATGCGACGCTTGCTCACTTCGGACAGATTTTAAAAAATGAAAAACGTGATATTGATATGATGAAGAGATAAACTAATGACAAATCTACCAGTGGTGCAGAAAAAATATATTGGCTTTTCTTTGGATGGAATGGTATAAGAACAGCAGAGCTACTTAATCGGAATATGTGGTACTCATGAGAGCTACTCACTACGATCCGACTGAATCAAAATTCATGCTGACAAATGTCTGGTTAAAAAGTAGTCTAGTATGCAAGTCTCCAACACCAAGTAGACCTGCCAAACAAGCACAGCCTCGAGCTGTCAACCTTGAAAATGTGTGTACCAAAAGAAGTCGGAAGAAACTAGCAGTGAACGCTAACGGCTAGTCACGGCTATTTCAGGTATCTCTAACCCGGTTTCATAAGGTTTTTAGCAAAGAGCCAGCAAAGAGCGTTGTCTCTGCTGATTGTTCTTGCGAATGTTGCAAACCAATGGCAAAGTCCCGCATCCACCATTTTGCAGAAATTTCACAATTATCACTAACCTTATCGGTGCTCCAATCTGCTTAGTCGCTTCAGCCGTCTTTATCAGACCCTCTTCGCAAACAGACAGCGTCAACTTGACGATATTCTCCAAACCACATGATCGCAGAAGACCTTTCGTGTCCAAATTTCCAAGCCGCAACAGATACAACGGTCGTCCCTCCTAAATGGTATTCACAAAATAGACTACAAAACTCAAAAACTGAAAGTAACCTTATCACAATGGTGCCAACATCCAGGGAAAAACTGCGTCATGACTGGCGGTGGACTCCACTCCTACATATAAAAGTTGCCTCAAATTGCATTTTGTCAATTATAGCAATTCACCTGTAGAATTCGATCCACACTGTGCTGTTTTCTCCATATGATGCTGTTATAGACCATGTCTTTCGCCTTGGCGACGTCAAAATCTCTTGCGCGCAAAAATCGTAGTAAATGCGCATCATTCGGTAGTTTGCCCTAGAAAAGAAATAGAATTTCTGGAATTCATAGATTTATTAAAATCATTATAAGGTTTCAAGTCATTGAGAGTATAAAATAAATGGAGAGAGCAACGCTCGGATGAACAGAGCAATGTGTAGGATATAGACAGAACGGAACAGTCTTCTAGATCAGAAAAGTCCACATCCTAACCATTTCCATAGTAAAAACGATTATAGAGCTTAAAATGCTGAGAAATGTTTGGCAGACAGGTGCCCCTTTCCCAGCTAAATTCTGCTCACTAGTTCAATCACGACAGCGATAAATACATAGAATGTCCCGAAACTACAAAGAAGAAACAAGGTGAGCTTATGCGTCAATGGGACATGTTATGGCTTCAAAATAACTACATTCCAATATGATAAGCAGTTTGAGAAAGCAAGCTTAACGTAAAATAAGGAGATTTTGAGGTTAAGAGTCTTATAGAACGGACTTCAAGCGAAATATTTAAAGCCAAATTCACCTTGTGGTGTGCTTGCAGACCGTACTTAAGTTCGCAGAGGCGGGACTCTTCCAGCGGACTGAGTTGTCCCAAGAATCGTCGAATGTACTCAGCTTCAAGCTTCGATTCAGCTGAAACAGGATAAAGCTAGGAAAGACGATATCTGCCAAGTTGACACTGATGTTCTCGCCTCACCACTTACCGATCACGAACTTTACCGAACGACGACGTCTGCCAGTTTTATCATAACGACGAGCTAGCATCAGCTAGCATTGATCCGCACGCCTTCGGAGAAGATAATAAAGATTTCGCGCCTCTCCACCGAAAGTGCACCTCCCTCTGCGCAATGTGTGGTCTTTTCACTCTCTAACGTTAGCACAGTATGTCATTAGACATCCACTTCAAGACACACACTGTATCGTGTATCCTGCGACGCACGCGCTTTCCTCACTGCAACTCAAACACGAGAGCATACTGCGCAACCCGTACTTTACGCCCCTCAAACGTCAACTGCAAGCGAGCGGCGCCGCGGTTCCGTTCCGCATGTTCAAAAATCTCTAACAGTAAATTTGCCTCTCCTACTATCAATTATTGTTATTTTTTAATATCCACTTATATTCCCGTCTCAGTTTGGTAAGCTGCTAACAGGCGTACGCATTACTGTACCCTACAGTACTTCCCCTATCACTGATAATTTCTTGCAGATTATCTTCTAGTCAGGGAGAGCAGCTTTCACTCAAATCTGACCAATTGACTTGGCTAAAATCAAAAAAAAGTGTGCGCTCGTGAGAAAGTGCAGCCTCAATCATTCCGTTCGTCTCGAGGTGAATGCTTGCTAATCCAAACCATCTGTCTCTTCACAAGTCAGACGCAAAGGAAGCGACAATGTGTTTCCATTCTAATTACGCATAAAATAGAAAGGTGGGAGCAATTACAGCAGCACAAATAGAGGAAGAATTTGGATTTAATTTGCAGTCAATGTTAAAAAAATCATGAGATTATTTGCTCAGATGAATGACAGATCACGCCACTTGTTTCATGATACGTCAATACTGCAGAACCTTATAGCCGATGGAACGTGTCATTCAACAAATGACGTCGCTCTTCTACTAATAAAGGGACTCTAAAGACTTACGATCCTCAAAACTGGTAGAGCTCTTCATCGCCTGGATATCTGGACGTACTTTGGACTCGCGTCGCATCACAACATGCCTGTAACAAGAGAAAAATGCGCGATTTCATTATGTTCATACATGCTTTGATATTAGTCGTACAGGCTCTGGCAAACTAAGTTCACACAACATGCAGATAAGCAATCTTCTACTAGCTAGGTGCTCTCTCTAGGACTGTGCTCGCAATTCTACAAATTGCTTTCTATCAGTTGGCATCTCGACTTGTTAATGGCAGTGTTGGACCTGGGGGACACGCTGACTACACCACACACAACATAGGAGACGATGACTTCATGCAAACTTTATCTTGCACAGCAATTATGTACAGTTCCAAAATGAGTTCATATTACGTGCATAGAAATCATATCACAGATTGAAACCATCACAAAAGCAGTAATTGGTTTGCAAATTGCAGCTATGTGGCTGCCACTTGACCTTCCGGCACACATTTCACCCACGTTTCCTCATCCGCTTGTTCCTTCGACACATCGATAGCCGAATCGGTCGTCGATCCCGTATCTTTGTCTTCGAATTGAGGTATATATGTCACACCACTTTTGATAAGCTCATCGATGAAAAATTCGAGGATCTCTTTGCCCTGTAAGAGAACGCATCTGCTCAACGACAGTATTAGCCAGCCATACGTTTCCTGTTCACTCCCTCTTTGCCAGGTTAGAGACTTCATGCAGTTATGACTCATGACTTTAGGTAGCTTAATAAAGCGACAAACAGCATTAAAATTACAATGTGACTCTTATGGCCTACCGAGATTTTTGGGAATAAGCATTTTTGCAACAAAAAAAAATTGGCCATATTTTGCGTCTTTGAGTAAGATGCTACATCTAATACACCCGTAAATCTACTGAATATTATGCGTTTTTCTCTTTTGATTTTTCTCAAGCATTCTGATTATATGATAAGTTTTTGACACAGCCGTAACAATCCTAAAATATTTATTTTTTATACCGTATAACCGTCCCGCTGTTACCATTTGCGAAAATATCATTTTGGTCTCAGAGAATCTCTTACAACCACAAATAAATTCTTGTAAGGACCAAATGATATACTCGCCTCAGACCTTCAATTCTAGTCTATATGATCATATGTTATCTACGCATCAGCCTCTACACGATAAAGTAGGCAACTTGCTGAAACCGCCTCAAACTAGTAATTTTGGCAGTTCTCACAACAATAAAAACATGGAAGTTTTTAGTTACAAGATCCAGTAACATTCTGCTGGCATTTATCTCTGAAGATACTCACCTTGGCCAGATTAGCTGCATACTGTTTTACGGCCAGCTTTTCCACTGCTGCTTCGAACCCGAAAAATGACTTAACGTCCAGAGCTGCATTTTGTTCAAAGCATGTCCAGTTAGGGTTGTCAGGATGGACCTGTGAATAGAAATACTATTTTTCAATTTAACTCGTCACTTTCGCTATCGCGAGCGTTTGCGTGACCTGATTCAAATTACTTAAATAAAGTATGAAAACTAGAGCAATTTAACAGTGACTGAGATCATCAAAGAAAGGATCAGTCATCTCAAGACAACAATGAGACTGTCAAATCGATGTGATTGTCTACATTGTATAGTTTCTAGTATGATTAAAACTTACGTAATAATGACAATTTTCCTTTACAAGAATTCGGGAAGAAAAAGTGATGTTTGATGCTTCGATCAGCAGTGTTCGTTTCCGCCGGTCCAGAGAGTTCTTTTGCGTGAAATATACATAATCTACACCGGCGATCTGGAATCAGAGAATTAGAACAAGATAACATGTTAACAATAAAATGTATACACTAGCACGAAAATCTACAATGCAATGAGTTGCAGGTAACTAACCTTCCTGACCAGATAAGGTGCGTCTACGTTTAGCTGACATTTTCGTTCAATCACCCATTCGGCACCGTCTTCACTGTTGAATTCGTAAGTTACTTCAGAGCCAACAAATATTGGTATTTGTGGGCATGTTGGAAAACGCTTCTCATATGCCTAAAACTACATCATACAGAAGAGGGAAAGAATAGCCGATTTTCGACTCCCGCATAGCAATCTTAAGTTTTCTCAGTATTCGGTAAGAGGAATTGAGATTTGCGGAAAAACAATCCAAGATGTTTTTGTTGTGCAAGGAGAAGCTTTATTAGAGTACCCTTCCAGTAGCGATTGACAGCATGAATTATTACTAGCAAATCTTGCCTACTAAATCATGCCGAAATAGTTTCTTGGTGCAGTATTCTAAACATGACGTTATGGCTTTGCCTGCCGAATTTGGATCCCGCAGAACACGAATTTCGGCGTTCTTCAAAGAATGTTTAAGCTAAAATCATAACAAAAAGATGAAACAAAATCGAGACAGCAAACGGATTTCCATATTCAGTTTAACCTCTACAATCATCAAGCTGTTGTACAAGTTATACAATTATATACAGGGCTCGGAACGAGATGGCTCTGCGAAAATGCGACAAACGAAGTCCTCCTCGACTTTCACAAAATTTAACAAGTCTGAACGTTAAAAAAACCCTCAAAAAGTCAAACGTCGACTAAAAAAACGTCGCAATTCTGTGTTTTTCGGCCATAAAAACGATATTCCTCCTGCTTTTCCTCGCAAAAACGAAAGCCAGCTTGCTTACAAGCCATCTGTGCCGACCTTTGAGTGTATAGATTATTTCTGATGTTGATAGTCGAAAAAAATTCTCTTGGAGTTTAAAAACTGTGGAAACTCTCGGAAAACTAGAGATATTTCAGGATTTGAAACCGGGAAGATTTTGATAGGTTCCTAATGAAGTAAAGGCGTGATGGTACCATTCACCAGAATGATATCATTTGCGCGACTGTCAGTATTTCTACGCAAATTTATATCACTTCCTAACCTGCCATTTTCTGCAGTACATATGGAACAGCGGTAACATTTTTTTCGAGAGTAACAGCACCAGAAAATTATAATAGTCCCAACCCCATACTTGCACAAATTTTCAACCAACCATATTTTGAGTGCTTATATAACATGCTGAAAGCGTTATGAGATTTCCGAACGCCGATTATGTATTTACTCAAAGAGCTCCTTCTCTACAAGTGGGATAGAGCGGCTTTCCCCTCCCCCCCCCCCGAGAATGGGTGGCGAAATTTTTGAAAGTCACATAAATGAGAGCTATTGACGTGAATTGTAAAAATGTGCAAGTAACTCACTTATACCTGTAATTAACTATAATTTAATTTTCTAAGAATTCGTTTTGGCCTTATAAATAAATTTTTCGGGGGCGTGGCTGACGCCACGCACCTTCATCGGAAAAGAATTTTATCGCCCCTCCCCGGAACGGAAATCCCGGGTACGCTACTAGGACAGAGGTATACCAATTCGCAATCAATGCATGCATAATGAGACGCAACTGCACTCGATTGCTAAACTTTGCTCATATTCTTATCTTCATATTTCTCCCAGATCAAAAGGCAATGTCACTGTGAAATAAGTAGAATATCGACGCGGTAATTTTTTTCAATATCTCAAGGACTCACCGCCATTACTAATTCAAAAGGGTGTTTATAAACCCTGACTGGCGACTGGTAGGTTTGCACCATGTTGTGCAAACTCTGGCCTGAAATCAACTAGACTGCGCGAAATCCATTACACATGCATATGCGTTGACATTGAACAGTTTCGACTGATACTATACAGTAATGGTTATAATGATTGACACAATAAGAGGAATTCGTTGGCAGTAAGACCGGCTGAGTGCAGAACGACTTATTTACGAACATAGCGAAGGAACAAGGAAATGAAGTTCGGATTGATTTTCAGATAAGGAGTGGCACTAGCGGTGACTGCGAGTGATAAATCAGAGACCAATTCCGATGTCTGCAGCTGGTGCAAACTTGTGCTTGGACGCTACAAATTTTACAAAATTTTGAAGATTTGATAGTAAGGAATAAATGGAGAAGTCGGAGTAATAGAATCCGGATTTCTATTAAACTGAAGGTGAAGCGCCTTAGACGGGTACATTTATAATCGAAGACAGAATGCGTCGAGGTGTGGCACACCACAAAAACGCCATCCATCAAATCGAGCCTGTATTGTGTTGAAGTTTTTTTTTGAAGCTATCATGAGAGCTGAATATATTAATATCGTCATTTCTAATGCATATGGTCAATAGATAACGATAACAGTGTTTACTCCTATAGAGAACCCTACACTATCTCAGAAATGTTACCATAGTGACTGCTTCGTCTAATGCTGCAACTCAAGCTACTCAGACGTCAAGTAACCTTCACAGGTAGGGGGTACGAAGAAAATGGAACCAGCTGGAAATCAAAAATGCAGCAGCTCATATATGATCAGTCGCAGCGATTTGGGCTAATATGCTCGTTGCCAGCAACTGAACAATCATTTCTAGCAAAGATCTGAGCGAAGTTCGACTATTTTCTGATTTGATTGAAGAAGCAGTCCGCCTGCGTCTTCTAAAACAAAAAAAGGTGGACACATAAAGCAGAAGATAGCTCCTTTTAGAGATAGAAAAATGATCTCTTAGATTTCTGAAGGATTGGATTCCCAAGCTGAGAACCTCGTGCGGATTCATATTCAAGAGCAATTATGAGCAAAAATTTTTTAGATTCATCCGAGGTCCAACGAGTTCACTTCAACACACATCAATGAAATTCTATTCCACTTGCTCCAAACCATCGAACAACAACCGCGTCAGCTGGTCTGTAAAGACAACAATGCGACGAAGAAGTTGAAAACAAACGGGGGTATTCGTCGGGTCCCCCTAATGTCTCCTGAGATGACGCCACGAATCAATCCCCCACGTGAATGCCGAATAAAAAAGGAGTTGAAGGACGATTCCGCTGAACAAACGCGGGAACAGTCGGTCCATTTCACAAGGCAAACATGGCGAGTGAAAGCACAAAAATGTACGTTAGAACTTCAATGAGGAAAATGAGAAACGAGGGCAAGATGAAAGACGAATTTGCACCTATCACCATAAATTACCAACGCATTTGTCAACATCTAGCTGTTCGTTTGAGTGCATCGAAAAGGGAGGCACAAGAGAAGTTTCGAGAAGAACGATTTGAATACACTTTTTCGTTCCGAAATTTTTATTTCCTGTGTGATATGAGCGTCAAAAACAAATAATATACACTTTTTTGTTTCCAAAAATCACAATTACTTGAGTGGTAAGTAATTTAAGTAATTGTGTAGTAATAGTATTCAATTTAAGTATATTTGTCGGTAAGTAATTTACATTACATTTGTATATTAAACGTATATAATCATGTATAATAAACATCTAAGTCCAAAAAATTATTTTTTCACACAGTTACTTCGAACTTTATTATCCAAAATTTCATATACATACTCATTACTCTTAAAAACTAACTTCTCAGTGTCAAAATAAGTTTTTGCAGACCTTTCTTCCTTTTTGAGGAGTTCCGAGAAAGGTTTGTAAATACTTTTACTCCGTATAAGGGCAGGAACGAAACGGAGTTTTTTGGTTATTTACACATTACTTGAAAGCTTTACTTCTCATTACTGAGAGCAATGAGCGTCGGATAACGAGAAGGTAAACGAGAACTTACAACAAACCGAAAGTGTCTCAAACGAGACTAGCCCCACAAAAAGCACTAACAGCACTGATCGAAACGTTAAGCTGCCTTTTGACTGTGATTGACACAATAAACCCTTTGTAGGGAATCGAACGCGTGCCCAATACCACATTCAACAACATTGCACTATCCTATGATTCATTATTGAGCCTAGAGTGAAGAGACCAAAAGGCGAAAGAATGGGAAGGTGAGAGAGCTTCATTCACGTGAAGTAAGGATTCTAGGCATAGCGAAAAACTCTAGATTATAGAAGAACTAAATGCGTCATCATTACCGCAGACGTCCTAAACGTATCCAAAAAACATTCGCAAATGGCCATTCGAATAGTAAGAAGTATACTTGAAAATAGGCTGAATTCTATGCATGTAGCCTCAAACAGAGCTACCTTCAACAGAGCTTAGCTTTGCAATACACAAAACAAGTGATTGATAGGTGAATTCAGTGAAGCAGAAGTGCTGGAAAAACTAACGGGAAAGAAGCCATAAAGTGAAGCCTATCCATCTCTGCAGCGATGTAATATTGAACTAGCATGAAGCATGAGTAGACGCCGAAATTACGAGCTTGTATTGAATGTTCCAAGAATCAGAAATTAAAGATCAAGGTAAATACAGCTGATGTCATCGCCAGTGCGCAAGAGACATACTCAGACAACCCAACGCGCAAGTTATTGTAAACATAGGTTGAGAAGCATTTGGAATCGTAAACAAGGATAGAGAAACATATGGATGACCTATGGGCCCACTTAGCAGAGCCAATTTTAAAGGATGCACACACTTTTTAGGATATTTTTGGGCCTTGTAAATGAGACAGAAGTTACTCATTTCGAATTCAAAAGTTTGATTATGGCCATGCTTTCTAGAAAGATGATGATTTTTTTAGGTACAAACATTCAAAAGGCATGGGGACAATGAGAACATCGAATGATGAGACAACAATAACTTATTTGAAATGAGGTTCAAAAGATATATATTAAGAATAGAAATTTGTACAGCACCTCAAGTTGGTATTGGTATATTTTATTCACAGCGAAAATGCAGTTTTAAAATCCACTCAATAATTATGCGGTTGAGCAATCTTAAGAGTAACGCTACACGTAAATTGAGACATGCAAATCATGGACTACTAAGCAAACTTCGAAAATGTTTGTGTACGCCTGGTCCGCCGAAGTGGATCAGAAGAATTTGAGAATGGCTTAGATTGCTCTCATGAAAGCAGCAAACACCATTCAAAACTCCACAACATTTTTATCGGGAAGTTTTCTGTGTCTTGGTAATTGGATGGAGCATTTCGGCGAGACTCAAAATTGGAATTAAGGACAACTTTGTAAGGAACCCATGAATTCTATGCTAACCATATAGACGGTGTACATTTACAGCGAGCTTCAACATTTCCAGCCGTCGACAGCGGTCAAATTTCGTGGTCAACTGCAACAAAAAACTGTGTTCTGTTACTTCAGGACCAATAAGATAATCTATTCCAGTATGGTCCAAAAGCTGGACCCCCCCTCTTGAGCGTCTGTTCGGAAATGACAAATTTCAGTACTTCTAGACAGCTTGCACTAGTCAATGGAGCTCAACTTATTGTTACACTTACGATCCGAATGTTTTGCTTAGAAGATTATTGACACTCTTTTTGTAGTTGTTCTGTCTGGTTCAAAACAGAGCAAACAATTCTGAGCTGTCGCAAAATGGAAACGGAAATAAGTATTCCACAAAACTAGTCACAAAGATATGCTTTTGAAAAAAGAATTACACAAATTGCCTCGGTGAGTTTTACAGTAACAATCTTGAATATGACGACGAAGTACGAGATATATGAAGAGTCCTTACGTTTACCCAACAATCGTCAGCAAAGTTTCAACAACTCCCACGAAATCTTATTTCTGCGCTGAAACATCATGAACAGGGTTAGGAAAAAACAAACGTGTACAAAACATGATCCTTCTTCAAAATGCAAATACATTCTCGCCATTCATACGAGCATCTTCATCGAACATAAATGGCAAGGAAAAGCATTGACTTTTTTCGTTGTCTTTCATAACAATCGTTTATGAAGAACCGGCAACGATGAAAAACGATTAAAGGGTATAATATGAATAATCCGTTGTTAAATTCCTCTAATTCCTCTGCGCATACTTGCAGAACGCACATGTACAGCCCGTATCAATGAGGAATACCCTTCCCATATTTAGACGTGGATTTACGCATCCGCGTCGCTGGGGTCTTGCGCCACGTTCGCGAGCGTATTAACGGATAATGTGCTAACTCTCAATCGATTGCCAATATGAGCAGTGAACTACTATTTTGATAAACTGCTTTACACTTTGTATTCTTCCACTGCGCAAGAAGAATATGAAAAAATATGGGAACTCACTAGAAACACAGAGTAAAGCCAGACGAACCCAAAAGACCAGAACATGTTGTTCCCTTTATGAAAAGCGACTAAAGAGAACATAGCAGTGATACCAGTGATCAATCTACGCATACACTATCCCCACATCGGCCGTCAAAGTGATGATTGGTGTGGGATTGCCGTGATTAGCCTCAGAAAAGTGGGACTGGAACTGGTTGGACAGATTTCGCTCACTTCCTGAATACAGGCGTAACAGAGGCTGTCAACAAAAGATTGGCAGACACCTACAGTTGTTTCGTGGTTTCTAAGACATGTCGCGTGTCTACAAGTACCATGGAATCGGATTTCGAGATAGGTGTAAAGATGTTTGACTATGGTGGCTGCAGAATTTCTGAGCAAAGGCACAGATTTCCCAGATGTCATGACTTTCAACAGAATCCTAATGCTCATAAAACTTCGAAAAAATATCTGCCAGAAAATCAACTCTGAAAAACGAAGCTAAATTTGCATGGGTTTTCTGCAAAAACCCTCCACAAATACTAGGCTTTGAGGATGGTTCGACATATTCGGACCACACTTCTTTATTCTTTTTATTATCTCGAACTATCAACGACTTATATCACTTAAATCTTCAGATATTCTGACACAACTAGGATTAAGCTATGTGGAGATTTTTGAGAATTTGTTCATATTACAAACATCCTCATATTTTCCCATGGGGAAATCATAGAAGAAAGTTTGTTGCAGGGGTCCAATGGCTTGCTATTCGGGACTATATACTATGTAGTAGATGTTAGACGAAGGTCAGACAGCTCAGTTGATTTCATTTCTAAAGGAGCTGATTATTACATGGATAGATTAAAAAGGCTGATAATGACTAGCTGAGGAAGTAGGAGATAAAAACTATAGATGCTTGGAAGCACCTCAAGAAAACAATACTGACAAGCTTTCATCTCCATTTTCAATGTAAATGTCGAAGTGAAGAAGAAGCTGTGCGACAATATAGGCGACAATTGATTAAGTAAAGAGTGTATTGAGAATCCGTAGAGATCTAAGTAAACTTGTTAGATTGGAGCTTCAGAAAACACACAATTTATTGATGGGTCGTTGTGTGTGAGATAGGACATATGATCCGCAATGACTTTACTGTCATAAAAGTGTTGAGACCTGATAAAATCGAAGGAAAGTGGAAGTGTCAAGAAAGTGAGACATATGTTTCCATGTACTTATTGCTGATAAGGCCGAAAAGGATAGATGATAAGTTTTGAGAGCTATATTATTATTATAGTTATAAGGGAGGGTATTACGGTTAACTAGCTAAATTGCAAAAAAAATTTGACATAAGATTTCAATCCCTTCTGTTAAAGCACAGGAGCAGAGGACATGTGACTTTATGCTCTCTGATTATCTCATCAAGCAACTACTATCTTTACCATTGTATTACCTATACTCAACAAGAATCATGAGATTACATGGTAATTATAAGACTACTCATATATACGTCAGAGTGAAAGAAAACCTTTAACAGTTATAGAAACAAAACGATTTTTTTCTATAGTGAAACTAACAAAATTTTGCTCCCGCCTCACCCCCTTCCCCTTCCCCCCCCCCTCCCCAAAGAATTGTGCCGCAATGATAGCCGTTCTAGGTTCCTGTTGCGTAAACAAGTTGTTTTGAAACGTCCTTCCATCACCTCTCTTGTGAACAAACTCGACGAATGCATAAAGAAGTCTTCAGAGGCTAAGGTGGTCAGGCCTTCTGTTTAAAAGGATGTGAAACCCACAGAACGTAATGAGAACGAGTGCCTGCTCAATATCATATAGCCCTTTTCGCAAAATTGTTTACCGCTTTTTTTAGAAAGCAAAAGGAATAGGAAGTTTGTCTTGAGTTTCCGTCATGCGCTAAAGTTTGAAGTCGGGAGGAATGCGTGCAATACAACAATAAGGTTGCACCTTCGACTTTATGAAAAAAGTCAAGACAAGAAAGAGCAGGTTCAGTAAAGTTTTGTATGTATGCATAAAAGTTTCTCGAGATCGGTGCTGAAAATACCGACTTTCGCTTAGCTTTGATTTACGCTAGTAATATTTAGAAAATCCCTCTACTGTATCTTTGAAAAGCAGATGCAAAAATCAAAAATCGTCTTCTGATCCTTGATTCAATGATTCGAGTAAGTGATTCCGGGAAAAGAGCTCTCTCCTGAGCAAATTTGCAATGTCAAACTGAAACCCTGTTCCATATAAACATGTCCGTAGTGAAACTTTTGTTGCGATATTTATGAGTTATAGAATTGTGGAATAACTTAATTTTAGTGTAAAATGACAGAATAATTTTGAGAAGTTTACAAAAATTCCAATCTCCGTTCAAATAAATTTGAAATGTGACACAGCCGCATCTTTTTTCAGAAACTTTGGAGTTATAAGCTCGCTGAAATCTGAAACTCATGGCTAACGCCGCCACGTCATTCGACAAAAGTTTCCACTTGCCCCGCTCCTAAACAACTTCAGGAATTGCGACTATACATATGAGAGTGGTGCAAGTAAAAGTGAAATTCACACCCGCATCGGATACGCATTACGAGCTTCAGATTATACTCATAGATTGTTTGAAAAACGGTGTATAAACGGTGAAGGTAACATGGAAGTAGCGCCCAAATTAAGAGGAAGAACTGCTCAATTAGCTTCGGGGGTTTTCTGAATTCCAAATAAGTTCCATTCCTTCTTCCATTCGAAGACATAACAAATACCCACACGAAAGCTTCTATTTGATAAGTAGAAAGCGGAACGAAAAGCGAACAGGCAAAATTACAAGACATGGAGATAGAAATCGATATGCAAAACGACAAGAATAAACGGCTTCGATGATATCTCACCAATGGAAATAAAGCGCCGAAGTGGATTCGGAAAAGAAAACGAGGGCGAATATACGAGAGAGATGCCATGTTATGTTCCGCGTTTTTCGATTTTGAAAACAAATAGCTGTAACAAACCAAAAAATGACTCGAGGAACGTAAACATTACACTGTCTGTTCTCTTGAGACTAATATTTAAAAGAAAAACCTCTGATTGACAAGACACAAGATTTCCGAATATTTCGGCGGCAAAATTTCCAAATCCATAGATAAACTACGCTTGCGCTTTTTAGCTTAAATGCATGCAAAGTCATAAATAATGCATCGAAAAAAGCGCGAGATCTTGTCAAGTCTAGTTTACAACCTCAAACCGCCCTTGTGCTAGAAGTACAAAGTTTATTGCTGCAAAAATCTAGCGGACAGAAAGTGAGCGCGTGAATAAGACACTAAAGAAGCGCTAGATTTTACTGACAGGTTACAGAACGTCAAAATGTTCGCGTCAATCACACATTTTAAAGCAAAAGCACAACCAATCAATTGCTTACAATAATGTCTCAGTTAAGAGCTTTAGCCGGAACTGGTTTCACGTCAATGATTCATGATTTTTTGTGGGAAAATCATGAGGAAATAATTACATAATCTCAAGAAACTTCTTCTGTCAACACTAAGTATTTGCTCTGGACCCGACTCAATGCGACCAGCAAAAAAAGGTCTCCCGCGGCTCCGAAATCGATTACTCATGATGTTGTTACACTGCGCAGTCGCAAACAAACTAGAAGCCATGAAAAACTTGCTGTGCAAAAAAAAGTTGGCTAAAGAACAGCAAAAAGTAAAGGCAACAAAATCTTCTACTGTGCGGATAAAAACCTAAATGTCATTGGAGGAATCCAAGAGTAAATGAAAAAACAATGTTGAGGATGGACGCGTAAACACAGAGGCAACAAAGACCAAGCTATCCAAGATAAGATGAGTTGTAGACATAAGAAGCCATGAAACATCCAAAACACCTAGTACATGATCTTTTCTCTTAGCTTGAGACCATAAAGTTTTTCTGCACAAGAAAAGGAGAAAAAGTTGAGATGTAAAAGCCAGAATGAAACTGAAGAATGTGTGAAGTTGAAAAACCTCTGCCACCAATGCGACCACATCTTTTTCTAGCGACTACCTGCAATCATAACTCCCCGAAAAATAAAGCAAGATTTATACCAGACCAGAACTTCTAATATTTGCAGAAACATCACTATAGGTGCTTAAGGATGAAAATCTAAAATTTGCTAGTTAAAGGCATCTAACCCCTCATAAACTCAATTTACAGCTGAATTCGAACAATCAACGAGGAAGAGTAGTGCAAGGTTTTTTCTTCTCTCAGTATTAGGGAGATAGAAAACAATGTAAACTTTGTAACAAATTTCCCATTTCCCAAATTCATCCCGCGAATCGCAATTGCGCAAAAGTAATATTTTATTTTTAAAATTACATAAAAGGCACTGAAAGAATTTCAAAGCTCTTGCTCAAGTTTTCTGTGACTAAAGAGGACTGGCTTCTCGGGGAGGCGTGTCAAATTAGTTGAAGTCGAGTCGAGTCAACAGACCATGGATATTGGAAATCCGAATATTTCCCATAGAGAGTGATGGCAACGACAGAACGTAGAACTATGACGTACCAATAATTGCTGTCAGACGACGAAAAAAGTCGGTGATCCAAACGGACGATAAAGTCAGGATGTGGGCGTACACAATGTTTGGGAAAAACCTCCGATTAAACGGCAATGTGCTTTGAGAATCTGCGGATTTGTATGACAAATGATCGGCGGAAGAACGAGCAGAAAACAAACATATGCGTTCAAATGACCAATGTTGAGAACAAAGGGTGGCCCAAAGCGCGCCAGCACACCGCATAAGCGCCAATGATGCTGCGAAGTGACGCGAAACCAACCACGAGTTTCACCAAGTCTCATCAATAATTCATAACGTAATGGAAGCCTCAGCAATCGCACCCCCGTAGAATCTTTGATGTGCAGGGGCTCGAGCTTATTAGTGCAGCTGCAAGGATAAATCCTAAGAAAGACGCTTTTCCTTGTAAAAACTCGGTTGCTACCAAAGGCTTTCTCTTATAATGGTTCGGAGATCACATGTCAACATTCTCGACGCTCGAATTTCGATTCTGCGGAGTTTACTCAATGGCACGGCTTACGCAGTTCCGAAATTTTCTTTTGCCAGTCGCTTGAGCACGCAACATATCACAAGATGTACTTCGCAGTGCTTTTGGCCAATGGTGTGTGCGATTGCACAACGCTGATGAACACCGTAATGAAGGGATTCACATGCGTAGTTACATACAATAAGGATCTGAGAGTCATCCTCTACAGTAGACCAATGTTAAACTGACGTTCACCTCACAAAGGTATATTTAATAGTTTGAATTAACATTACCATTACTTGGAAGAATTGATTTTGTAAAAGTGAAGACAAACATATTCATTGAACACAATCAAATAGCAATTATGGTCTACAATTTGCGCATATAATCCACCATCTTACTGAACTATACTTGGAGGATACAATGACGACATAAG